ATAAGCTTTCAAGACTATATTATAAAAAGTTGACTATGGTATAGTGGGATTATCCTTTGTAGATGTCTCTAGTGAAATTGAAATAATATTTCTATGTCATGCATTACTTGCAAATGTCAGATCAAGAGGCATGATATTGTTAGCAATAAGAACAAGTGGTGTACCAACAACAATTTTATTATGAGGTCGTACAACTCACTTCAAATTTGATATACCTCTTCAAATAACTGAATTAATCATCATAAATATCAAATCAGAGCAATAATGCTAAATTTATAAAGAAGGCAAAAGTGATAATATGGGATGAAGCGCTTTTGGTTAAGCGTCATACGATTGAAACAATCACCCACAGTTTTAGAGATATGATGGATATCGATGAACCGTTTGGTGGAAAAATAATAGTTTGGGAGGTGATTTCTATCAAGTACGATTAGTAGTTCCAAAAGTGACCAAAGCGGAATTTGTAAAAACTAGCTTGCCAAAATTATACTTATGACCTCAAATGAAAAATATTCAAATGACAAGAAATATAATAGTAAGAACAGATCCAGCATTCTATGACTTCTTGCTTCTTATAGGAAACAAAGAAGAGCATCCAAAAAAAGATGATTTGATTCTTCTAGAACACTTGATTATCAATCCCAATGGTAATAGTAGTGCATTTAATAAGGAAAATATTTTATCATTAGATTAAAATGCAATTTGTTCAAATTACATGATAGAAATTAAAGAGCTTTCTTAGCTAGCAGAAATGAATATGTTGATTAACTAAATAAAATATTGATTGCTAAGTTTTATGGTAAAAACAAAATATTTTTCAGTTTTGACTTAGCAGAAGATGATACCAACAATAACTACCAAGAAGAATACTTAAATACTTTAATACCAAATGACCTTCTACTATACATGTTTGTTGTCAAATTCATTATTTCTTACGTATGTTAATGTCGGCATATATATAATAGACTAAGTTAAAATTGATCTTCTATTGCATATATGTTGATTTTGAAGAAAAATATGACTGTCATACTACTGAAAACTTAGATTCACTGAATACCTTATATAATAGTACACATATGGTATATAAAAGTTTTTACAATAACGTCATACATGCATAACTTATGATACTGCTCAATGTGCTTCTAAGTATGTGTTTATTCCTAAATTCAACTTTTATCTTTCAAAACTAAAGAATATCCTTTTAAATTTGTTTGAAAATAATTTTCAGTATGTTTATGTTTTGTAGTTATAATAAATAAAGCATAAGGACAAACATCCTAAATATTGAACTATATTTACCACAATATGTTTTCTTACATGAATAACTATATTTTGCACTTTCAAGAGAGATATCAATATAAAGAAGTGTTCGGTAAGATACTATCACATTAGATAACTTTATACCACAATACATAATTATCTACTTAACATCACTAAATTGATCATTTATGTAAGTTCTGATGAAATCCTTTCATTTTGAATTCACGTATTATGCTAATGTAACAATTTTTTTCGGCATTTAGATGATTGTTGTAATATTATATATAAAATTTCTCTCACTAATTAAATTCTATTGTTCCTTCATAAAAAATAAATATTTAAACCTTCATGTGCTATTATAAACGTGCAACGCACGTTTATAGATACTAGTTATTATAAAAGCATGAATACAATAATGATAGATCAAAATAGCCTTGAAATATTAAACAAAATAACTCATAGGGAAATGATATAACTGTAATAACTTATTTTTTTGGACTACAATAACTATTATGTTAATTTTTTTAATATTTAAAATTTTAAATTAATACAATCTTGTCAATTGAATTCTTATTAAAAATATATAGGAAGGTTTAATAAAATCAATTTCATAAGAATCCTCCATATTGGTAATACATTACCACTCTATAGTATCCAATATCAAGAAAAAATAGAAGCAATGTTAAACGGACCGCATAAAGCATTGAAATTGAGAAAAAATTCCCACAATAATATATTATTATATTATATTTGAACCGCTTTTCTACTCAAATAATATTTTTTTTTATTATTATTTTTTCGCGTAATATTGAAAAATATACCCATTTATTAAAGAACAACTAAGAAAATTTTTAAGAATATAAATGTGTGAGAAAGAGAAAAAAGGATTGGTAAGAGTCAATATCACTAATAATTTTGCAAACATAAAGATCTAAAAGTGGAATGTCAGATTGATCTTTTTACTCTTTGAAAATAAAAGTTATGGTGGATAAAATTATAATTACGGTTAAATATTCAAACATGAAATAAATTAATATTAAAAATCTAAATCAACAAAAAATAGATTAATTTTTTATGTTAAAACTAAATAATCAAATCTTTCAATTAATTATTTAGCAAGAAAATTCAATTAAATTATTTTTTAAATTCATCATATGAGTAAAATTATTTTTCAAGTTAAAAAAAAATCTTAGGGTACATAAATTTATTCTATAAAAAGAGTGTTAGAGATTAAAAAAATTAGATCACAAAGTAAAAAAGATTAGTATAATATTAATAAGGCCATACAAGTGTTTGAGGTAGCACAATCAAAGCTAAATCATGAACAATAATAAGCTTTTAAGACTATATTATAAAAAGTCGACTCTGATATAACGAGATTATCCCTTGTAGATGCCTCCGGTGGAATCGAAATAATATTCCTATGTCATGCATTACTTGCAAATGTCATATTAAGAGGCATGATATTGTTAGCAATAAGAACAAGTGGCGTACCATCAACGATTTTTTATGAGGTCGTACAACTTATTTTAGATTTGATATACCTCTTCAAGTAACTGAAATAACCCTCACAAATATATCAAAGCATAACAATAGTGCCAAATTTATAAGGAAAGCAAAAGTGATAAAAGTTTGGGAGGTGATTTCTGTCAAGTAATATAAGTAGTTCCAAAATTGATGAAAACAAAAACTGTAAAAGCTAGCTTGCCAAAATTATACTTATGGCCTCAAATAAAAAAATATTACGAAAACCATTGTAAAGTTATACAAAAAATATAAAAGTAAGAACAGATCCAACATTCAATGACTTCTTGCTTCGTGTCGGAAATGAAGAAGGAAAAGATGATTTAGTTTTTCTATAACACTTGGTTATCAATCCCAATGGTAATAATAATGCATTTAATAAAGAAAATATTTTCATCGTTTGATTAAAACACAATTTGTGTAAATTACATGATAGAAATTAAAGAGCTATATATCTTAGCTAGCAGAAATGAATATATTGATCAACTAAATAAAAGACTGATTGCTAAGTTTTATGGTAAAAACAAAATGTTTATCAGTTTTGACTTAGCAGAAGATGATACCAACAATTACTACCAAGAATAATACTTAAATACTTTAATATCAAATGACCTTTTACCGTACATATTTGTTGCCAAGTTCATTATTTCGCACTTATGTTGGTATAACCACATATATATAATAGACTAAGTTAAAATTGATCTTCCATTGCATATAGATTGATTTTGAAGAAAAATATGCCCGTCATGCTACTGAAAACTTAGATCCTCTGAATAACTTATGCAATAGTACACATATGGTATATAGAAATTCCGACAATAACGTCATACATGTAGAACTTATGATACCGGTCAATGTGTTTCTAAGTATGTGTTTATCCCCGAATTCAACTTTCTTCTTCTAAAACTAAAGAATATCATTTTAAATTTGTGTGAAAATAATTTTCAGTATGTTTATGTTTTGTAGTTATAATAAATAAAGTACAAGGACAAACATCCTAAATATTGGACTATATTTACAACAATATATTTTCTTATACGAATAAATATATGTTGCACTTTTAAGAGAGATATCAATATCCACAACAAGAGTTTAAGTTATGAAAGAGCAACCAAAGCATTAGAAGGAAACATACAGAAAGAAAACAACGTCTTTAAAGAAGTGTTTGACAAGATACCATCATATTAGATACCTTTAAGCTACACTACATAATTATCTGCTTAACATTAATAAAATTGATCATTTATGTAAGTTCTCATGATGTCCTTTCATTTTAAATTCACGTATTATGCTAATGTAATAATATTTTTCGGCATTTAGATGATTGTTGTATTATTATATATAAAATTTCTCTCATAAATTAAATTTTATTGTTCCTTCATATAAATAAATATTTAAATCATTATGTGTCATTATTAACGTGCAACACACGTTTATAAATACTAGTATAAGAAAAAGGCAAATACACTTAATATAAAGTTGAGTTTTCAAATTCTGATCTCAATTAAGTGAAAACAAACGGGACTCAAATAAATTTCTGTCATCTACCTATGTTTTGGTTAACAAAGTCAGTAGACACTTTGCGTAAGTAGGAGTCAGGGGTGGTTTGGTAGGAGGTATTAGAAAAAATAATGCAAGCATTAATTCTGTGAATTATTAATACCTCGTTTGGTATATTTTTTCAACCTTTGTATAATTAATACTTGTATTAGTTATACATTACACTTGATATTATACTATGTATAAGCAATGCATAAGAAACCATGACATTAGTAATGCAAGAGTTTTAATGCTTGCATAAACATGGGGAAAGACCTAATTGCCCCCCTCAAATCCCTAATAAAAGTCTTTCCCCGTATTATTAGCAAATAGATTTCCTCTGTACACTTTGGCCATGGAAAAGCACAGTTAATTTTTATCAATAAAATTATTTTTTATAGCTAAAGTTAAAAATTATGGAGGGTACTTTTGTAAACACCCAATTTTTAAAAAATTATGCAATGCTTTAATACACCAAACCAAACAGTGGATAAAAAATAATTTCAGCATAACTAATATTAGCATTACTAATACCAACATTACTAATATACTCTGTTCAGTACTATTGTTATACCTCCTACCAAACGACCCCTTACAGTTTTTCTTAAAAAGGTTTAAAAAAAAGAGAGAAGGTACTACTCCTATTTAAGTGGGGTGAAGGTAACAATAATCAAATGTCAAGGGTGTATTTCGACAATATATTCTAGAGAGGAAAGCAAAACCCTAAAGCTACTGAAAACGTTCTACAGATCCACTTTCCCCCTTCTCCTACAATACAAAGCGGCGAGCTTTATCGCTGCTACCTTGAAACTCAAATCCAATAACAAAAATCATGGCGGCGAAGTACGACCTGACGCCACGTATAGCGCCGCAACTGGACAGGCACTTGGTTTTCCCGTTACTGGAGTTCTTGCAAGAGAGGACATTGTACCCCGATGAAGATATGCTTAAGGCTAAGATTGAGCTTCTTAATCATACTAATATGGTTGATTATGCTATGGACATTCATAAATCCCTTTATCATACCGAAGATGTCCCTCAAGGTATCTCCTTTTTTTTTTTCTTTATTTCGATGTGTGTTTTTACATATGGGTCCACGTATTGGCGAATGCTGATTAATTTGTTTCTTTACTAATCTTGTTGCCTGTAACCTTTTCAGCGTAAAGGGTCTTTTGGCGTTTTTGTAATTTTGATTGATATGGTCTCTAGAAGTTGTTCATCATAAAAGAAGGGTTTTAAAGTGTTTTACTATGTCTTGTTTGATTATTGCCTTTTTGGAGTTCTTTGGAGGTGTTTTTGCTAATCTAGTCTATTAAGGTTCTTGGAGTTGTTTAGTTGTTTTTGCTATAATATAGTCTTGCCCCAGCCACATGGGCATACCTCGACCATTCCACCAGTACCTGCTAACTCCCAGTAGCATAGGTGTCGAGTGACTATCTCCACCAGGGCTTAAGGCAAACGAGAAGAAATAAACGTTGTGTTTTTTGCTTATTGTCTGCTGGTATTTTCGTCATAGTCTCCAAGGCTTGCACCCATTCTTTGACCACTAGTCTAGAACCTTGGGTGTTTGACGTGGTAATTAATTTTAAGATTGTTGTCTATGTTCTCTGTTTAGTTTGAGGTCTATTGTCTATATAGGCAATATGCAAGATTAAAGCTAAGTTTGTGCTATACACTTAAATATAGGAGATGTTTTGTATGAGCAGAGGTGATTTTAGGGGTTCCCTTTGCATGTTTAACTCTGCAATACATTTTGATAATGTTGTTGGTTATTCAGAGATGATGGAGAGGAGAGCTGAGGTTGTGGCAAGGTTGAAAGCACTTGAGGAAGCTGCAGCCCCATTGATTAATTTTTTGCAGAATTCCAGTGCTGTCCAGGAATTGAGAGCTGACAAACAGCACAATCTTCAGCTGCTCCAAGAGCGGTACCAGGTCAGTGGGGTTATTCTGGTTTACATAATATGGAATTTCTTGTATTTGAAATACTTACTGGGATACAAGATACGTAGGAGATTGAATACTAATAGAAGTTGTCCGACAGCTAATATTGTGAAGACCTTTTCCTATTTGATTAGTGATGCTAAATGGCTCTTTATATAAGAATACCCACTGTTCTCTCTTCTTAATAATTGGTTAAAGTGATGTTATGAATTCTGCAGATTGGTCCAGACCAGATAGAGGCATTGTATCAGTATGCCAAGTTCCAGTTTGAATGTGGAAACTACTCTGGTGCTGCTGATTATCTTTACCAATACCGAGCCTTGTGTACAAACAGTGACAGGAGCGTCAGTGCATTGTGGGGAAAGCTTGCTGCTGAGATACTAATGCAGAATTGGGATATTGCACTTGAGGAACTCAACCGCTTGAAGGAAATTATCGACTCGAAGGTAATATTATGCATATGCTGAGTCCGCTATCTGCGTGTTTGAGTTGATCTTACAAGTTGGAATATTTAGTAAGGGAACTTGAATGATGCTCCTTTTTTGTTTCTAAGTTTACTAAGAGAGTCGCACGTCTTGCAGAGTTTCTCGACTCCGTTGAATCAAGTTCAGAATAGAATATGGCTAATGCATTGGAGTCTATTCATCTTCTTCAACCATGACAATGGCAGAACACAGATCATTGACCTATTTAATCAGGACAAGTATGAGACTGTACTTCTATTACTCTCCCTTGTAAATTCTTGTTTTCTTTTGCTGCACCTTTTTGGCTATTCCCATATTGTTTCAGCTAGGCGTCTTTTCTAACACTATCACTTACAGAGTAAAGAGAATGATGTCAGGAAATATTCTAGGGAAGTTTATTCACTCTGAGTCCCCCCCCCTCCCCAACACACACACACACAAGTATAGTATTTTTTTGTGTGCGCACAGCTGAGTTATGTTTGAAATATCTTCTTTTGCTGTGATAATCTGGGATACTATTTGTGCTTGAGCTTCTAAATCATGAAAATCTTGCAGGTATTTGAATGCCATTCAAACAAGTGCTCCCCATTTGCTACGATACTTGGCGACTGCATTTATTGTGAACAAGCGGAGAAGACCTCAATTTAAGGACTTTATAAAAGTTATTCAGCAGGAACAATACTCTTGCAAAGATCCCATCACAGAGTTTTTGGCGTGTATTTATGTCAACTATGACTTTGATGGAGCACAGAAAAAGATGAAGGAGTGCGAAGAGGTGAGCTTTTGCGCCTAGTTTATCTGCTTTGATGCGTGCTTAACATCATAGTTTTTCTTCATTTCTTGTATGTCAAATGTAGAAACTTCAGTTGCTGTAATTGGCTTTAAGATAATTTATGAAATGAGGTTTTTGTTTTGAACTAAGAGGACTACTCTTATGTATTCAATCATAGGATTCTACTCTTAGCTCTGATCAGTATTCAATAGTAGTCTGTAGCTGTGGTTAAGTAGGATGCTTCTTCCAGTTTCTATCATAGGAAAAGGTAGAATTTTATTCCGCTATAATTGTTGACGGAAAGATAGTCATTTTATTTTGCGAAAAATCTTCCTATTTTTATTCCCTATTTGTTACGTGGAATATTTTATTATCTTATGCTTTTTTTATAATATAAATAATTTTCTTATCTTTTACTATTTTAGGTATTGCTATAATTTAAACATTAAAAACCAGTAATGCATTTATTTAGGATGTTATAATGTTTAAGTAATGGGCATGGATATTACAGTGGGGCAATGTTTTGCAAAATATTGTGTTATATTAATCTTTTATTTTTTCTGAAAAACATGGATTGTTTTCCTAAAACTTAAAAATCAATCATCCAAAGCTACGCTCTCTGGTAACTTTCTGAAAGAGCTAGCTCAACGTTACCTTTGCATAATACTCGTAAGTTTGGTACTTGAACATTCTAGTTTCTGTTACCTGTAGCTAAGTATGTTTAATATAGCCTGTGAGCTTTCCTTTTAGAATGCAGTTGTTTCCCTCCTTTTTAATACGGATGTCACATGCAGGTAATTTTGAATGACCCATTTCTGGGAAAACGAGTTGAAGAGGGCAGTTTTTCCAGTGTGCCATTGAGGGATGAATTCCTTGAAAATGCTCGCCTTTTTATCTCTGAGACCTATTGTCGCATTCACCAACGCGTTGACATGGGGTATGTAGCTAATGCTTGAAAGTCACTTCTACCATCAACAATTTTTATATCTATTTGGTTTGCTTTCTACCCTCTTTCCCCTTGTATTTAATATTCTGTATCCCCCTTTATTACCCATGGATGTTGGCAGTATAGTTGCTTGCGGAAGGAGAGCTGTGCCCATTTAGTCACAATTTTCTTTTGATTCATATATGGCAGGGTTCTAGCTGAGAAGCTAAACTTGAACTACGAGGAGGCCGAGCGATGGATAGTGAATCTTATTAGGACCTCAAAGCTTGACGCTAAGATTGATTCCGAGTCAGGAACAGTTATAATGGAACCAACTCAACCAAATGTGTAAGTTTGATGCAGATGTATTAACTCTAATAGATTAATGAAAGCAACTTGTTTTTAACCCATTTTATCGTACCTGATTTATAATGCGTTATCTTTATTGATTGTCTTGTTCAGGTATGAGCAGCTCATTGATCATACCAAGGCCCTTTCTGGTCGTACTTACAAATTAGTCAGCCAGCTTCTTGAACATGCACAAACACAGGCTGCTCGCTAGTTTGGTTGAGAAAGTCAAGCCAGTGTCAATTTTTTGCATTGCTCCCATGCGGTCTTATTAACCTTTATATTCAAGAATGTTTTTTCACTTTTGTAATGCCTAGATTTTCCTTGGAGGAATCGAGATTCATGGTTCATTAAATATCTTGTCTCACTATTCTTTATCTTCATCTCCATCTGAAGTGGAGCACCTCTGTATGTGTATACTCGTTTTGCCTGGGAGATTTTTTTTGGCTGTAATGCCTAGGTTTTATGGTTCATATGATGCTTACTCATTGCACTTTGTACTGTCTATAGGTTTACACAGTTTTCGAGAGAACTGGGGACATCAGTAGCAATTGTAGATGTTCTATGGTATTGCAAGTTAAGCTTCCTAATTTTAGCTCCATCCTACCCCACCTTAGAAGGATCACCTTCTTCAAACTAGCTTGACCCGTAACATGTAGGTCGATGGTGACTCTACCACCAAAACAATTCTCTCTATTCTGAAGATTCAGATAATGTTTCTCTCTTTAGCTTCAGTTAATGTTTTTGGCGCTTGCCAGGAGTGACTGAGTTGAGTATACTGATATCATTATGATCAATTAATGGAAGGACTTGGTTGGAAATTCTTCTTGCCTCTCATTAGCTCGTGTTGCCCCCATTTTTGGTGTCTTAGTCACCCTTTAATGGCTGGCTCACTTTGACACGTCTTCATTAGTGATCGCCTAGAGTCCTCTTCCATCAATTGGTACATAAGGCATCGACCATACCTCCCTGGGATAGCCTTTTGTGTAGGAACATCCCCAAGATCCGCTTGACAGAGTGGTGCAGGCAAAATAGCTGAGCGCTCTATATAACACGCCTCTGTCGCAAGGCATTTTATGCAGTCTAATGTAGAAAGGAAAGAAGAAAAAATTTAACATATGTATATATGCACTGTATCTATCTGACGTATCATTTGACTTGGCAAGAATGGAGGGATTCACTTAAGAATGTACATTTGTTCATTACACTTAGGCATGGCACTGATGTTCGGGCAGCATTTCTCTTTTTATCTGAAATGTCTGGCATTTATAAATGCTTCTCTAGTATGCGAGTCAGCAAACTTATAATTTTCTGCAGCTTTAACGACCGATGGTACAACCACAGCTATAATTCTTTCTTTAGAGAATTTGGTTTGCGACTGACCTCAGTAGCTAAATTTGTTTAGCCAGCATTACCATCTTTGTAGTATTTTCGATAAACAAGTCTTTGCAAAAGAGTAGTACAACAGTTATACTACTAACTACATATATATATATGTACACTTCCAGTTTGGATCATTATGTCCATATCTAAAGTTAAAAACTCTTGTGTACCAAGTTATTTATTTTGAAGAGGTTATTGTTGTTCACAGGCTTCTGCCCTTCTGAAAATTCTCTGGCCAGGAGCAAGCATTGCCAAAGGGTCATATGTGGATTTCCTTCTAGCAAATGGTATCCATTGTGGGCCAAAGTGATCTTTCCACTCTTCCTGAGTCTTGTAATTTGGCAAATATTGTTTCATTCCAATATTTATTTTTTCACAAAAATTTAGTATCCTTTTGTTCTGAGCAAGAATATGTCTTAGTCCATCGCTGCCTGTTGAAGATGGCATGGCGGAAGATAGGAATGCGATCAGGTAGAAAACATCTTCGTCAGGGGTAACCATGGATGTTCCTTTTCTCCACCTATAACAGAAATTACCCCAGATAAACTATTAGGACAATGCATATTTCTCTAAGTAGATTGATAATTTATGAAGAATTTTATTACTTTGATTTGTTGACAGGGTAGATGAGTAAAGGACCATTGCTAGTGTCAGTAAGAATCTTGCCAAAAACTTCTTGTGCAAATTCAAGAATCCTGCTTTTTGGTATTAGAAGATTTAGCCATGGATGAGGAACATCCCACAACCCTTTTTCTTGGAGTTCCATCTCAGAGACATGCACTCTGTCGAGGAATTCCACGTAGGAGACTTCTGATAGGAACAGCGTGGATCGCATAAAGTTCAACTTTGATAAGAGGATATCAATGTTCTGTACATTTAGGAAACATAAGTTAATATTGTGAACTTGTTTAGATTATGCATAGTTGTCTAAGGCTGGAAGTTTGATATACTTTACCTGATCAATACTATCTGTGTCTTCTGGATTGAAGTATTTGGCAACTTCTAGGCAGAACAAAACTCTACCCTCAGAACTGAAATTGCTGGCTAGAACTGAATCTTTACGATTGAAACTAGACCTCCAGCTATTCAATAATCCAGTTTGGTTGATAATGACAAACCCTTCAATATAATCAAATGTATCCTGAGTTGATATCAAATGCTCTTGATCATTGGAAAATATGGCAAAATCTGAATACAGCACTCTAATCCACTTGACCTGTCAATAAGTAAATCTTAGCTATGCTAAATGAGCTTGTTTTTTTTCCCTTCGTTTTGTTCCTAAAGTAATCTTACTTCTTTGGTAATTGGAGTTCAACCATTACCTGTTTAGGTGCTGTTTCAAGAGCAATCCTTGCTCTGGTAATAATACCAAATTGCCCCAGTCCACCTAGTACACCATGAAACAAGTCTGCATTCTTCTCCTCCGAACAAGTAATCACCTCTCCTTTACCTACAACAAGTATTTTTTACTATTCAACAATTTTTTTGTCTTAATTACCACCTGAAGTTGACACCTTTTATTCAGTACACGCCTGAACTATTTTTGATCTTAATTACCCCGAACTTGGCTGTTTGATAGCCTTCGCCGCCCCCCTGAATATTCACACGGCAAAGAGAGCGGAGGCGTGTGAAAATTATGAGAAATGAAAAAATCAACTTCCAAGTGAGATATTTTTCAACAGTTAATTTGCAAATAATTATATATAACGAATTTTTTGGTTCTAACTGTGTATTTTTTTCTTACTTCTTAATATACCACACATATTTTACATCAATTTTAATTTTAGTTTTTTCCTGGTGCAATCTTACGGTGCATTTTTCCTTTTCGCCAAATATGTATATTAAAAAAAAGACTTGAATAAAATC